AAGAAGAAAAAAACTTTTAATTATTTGAGTGAATCATTTTTAAAAAATAATTACTTATTTTAGCTATATTTTTTAATTATTATTATTTATATCGATATAAAATAATATTATATATTATTGTTAGATTTTTTTTTTCTCGCTCGCTCTTTTTCTTTTTTCTTTGCCAACTTTTTTCTTTTTGTTTCTCTTTCTCTCTTACTATTTTTTTTTTGTTTTTGTTTTCTTTTGTTTTGCTTCCTTTTTACGTGCACTCCCTCTCTTTGATCTGTTACTTTTTTTTCTTTAGTTTCTCTCTTTACTTTATTTCGTAGAGTAGTCAATAATTCGTAGAATGAATAAAATTTATATTAATATTAATTAATTAAACAAATAATTTAATCGTAACAAATGAAGACACATAATAAATTGAAAAACGAATTAAATTTGAATTAAAAATGTATCTCACACATATTAAAGTTGAATTAAAAATACACACAATGATCTATAGAGTATATTAAACTTGTATTAATAATGAATTAAATAAGTAAATTCAATAATAATAAATAAATCAAAGTTGCAAAATAAATTAAATTGCTTTAAAATTGTATTACACAATATTAAAGTTGAATTAGAAGAGAATTCAGAATGAATAAAAAAATTATTACACACATAATAAATTATCAAATGAATTAAACTTGGATAAAAAATGTTACACACATATCAAAGTTGAATGAGAAGCAAATTAAACATGAATGCAAAATGTAGCAAATGAAAGAGTATTATGTGATTTGTAAATTAAATAAAACTTGTATCAATAATGAATTAAAGATGTAATTCAATCTTAACAAATCAACCAATAAAATGCAAAATGAATTAACTTGTCTTAAAAGTCCATACACAAATATTAAATTAAAGTTGAACTAAGCAAATTGTAACCAATGAAACACAAGACAATGATCTATAGAGTTAATTAAACTTATATCAATAATGAATTATACAAGTAATCTAACAATAACAAATAATAAACTACAAAATAAATTAAATTTGCATTAAAAGTGTGTTAAACAATATTAAAGTTGATAGAAGAGAAAAATAATAATAAATGAAAAACATAAGTAACGAAAGACAAGACAATAATCTATAGATTGAACTAAACTTGTATTATTCATGAATAAGTTATAAACTTAACCAAAATCAATTATAAACTTAACCAAACCTTGGTATATAAACTACAATCGACATTTCACTTATTTATAGGAACAATCTATCCAAACTCAAATTCGTAAAATTGAATCTTTATAATGACCACCGATGATAAACTCTTGTTTCTATAATTTTAAAACTCTTATTTGAGAACATCATATTGTACAATTTTTTATTTTTCTATTTCTTTTCTTGTCGTGTTTTTGAATAAAAATAGTGAAATATGAGAAAAAAACTAATTTTACAATAATTATTTAAATGAAAATTTCAAAAGAAAAAAGAACAAAAAAAAAAAGAGGAGGAAGAGAGATTGACACAGAAAGGAAAAAAAGGAGTAAAAGAAAATAGGCAGAGAAAGAACGAAGAAAGATTAACTGTACAATTTCTTGTTGGATTTAAAAAAGGTGTGAATGGAAAATGAAGAGTTGCGACTTTTATGAAGAGTTGTGACTTTTGTGAAATGTTGCGACTTTGATGAAAAGTCGTGACTTTTATTAAAAGTTGCATTTTTTATGAAAAGTTGTGACTTTTATGGAAAGTTGTGACTTTTATGAAAGGTGACGACCATTCTGAAAGATTGTGACTTTTCCAAAGGTTTGTGACCTTTTCGGTAAGGCACAATAAGAACCTTTTCGCACCACCCTTTGTTTTCTATAAATTGAGGGATTTTCTCTCATTTTAATATAGAATTCATGGACTTCTTCTTCAACTACTAAATCTAGTATTCTAAGTGTACTTTACTGCCGTTGAGTGGTTCACTGACACTGGAGTTTTTGGTATCTATACTCTGGTGATTGAGATCATTTTACATATTCCAAATCAAACCTCGGATACTAGAGGGGAATAATTTCCTTAAGGGGACACTGTGAATTCAGTGGACTTGATCTTTTTCCTATTAAAAATTTCCAGATTCTGGTACGTGTTTTACAAATTTTAGATTAGTGAATTAATTTCAGTTCTTCTATTCTTCTGTTCTTCACTGGTTCATTAAACTCGGTAACTTCGTGTTTCTGCAAAGTTTGTTGGAATCAATAAGATTCTTTAGACACATATTAACAACAATTCCTCTTTAAGAACAATATTTCGTATATTTTTTTTAAATCTGTTTCTGATTCTAGTTTCGCTACTAGTTTTAATTTTCCTAGTTGTGAAAATGTTCTTAAACTTTGTTTTCTTACAAAGATGTTTAAAGTTTTGTTCTAAGTATGTTTGAAATACCAGATGAACAATATTTCTTAATTCTTAAAAATTATTATATTTAGTTAAAAAAATTATATTAACATAAATGGTAAATATTTTTTTAATATGGTACATTTCTTTGATTTACCAAAAAAAAAATACATTTGAATTGCACTTAAAAGCACATCAAAGATACGCTGAAGCACCGAATTTTGGGATTTTTTTTTGAAAAAATTTACCCTCGGGTGTTTATATCAAGTCAATGCAATTTTTATTATTACGTGATTTAATGAAGTAAAATTAACTATTTTGAAGATAAAATCCTTGTTGTATTTTTATTTTATTGTATCACCCGATTTGAATGTATAAAAATTTCATTATTTTATCAGATCGGATTGAACAAAAGACGATAACAAGATTAAAAAGAAATTGATTCTATCATTTTATTAATTGTCTTTATTAAGTAATAAAATATTTTCAAATTAAGAATTTCAATTTATTTACAACATAAACAAGTAATCTTTTAAAAATTTATTACAGAATATATGATATGTTCATGATTTGTAGATCATAGAACAATTGTTTTATATATATATATATATATATTTCTCTCTCAAATAACATAGGAGTGTTAACTGTTAAGGACTCTGCTCAACTTTTCTATTATTATTATAAAAATTAAACCAATGTACGTAGTATTAGAAAGAAAAATAATAATAAAAGGCATCATGTTATTTTAATTATAAAACTTAGCCGTTTACTCATCAACGTTAGGTCGTCTATACATTAAATAATGAAATTGATTGTTAAATTAGTATGTGGTTTAGAACAATGAAACACCATATGCATTACAGGTTCAACATTTGATATTTATTAGAATTTTAGGAATTTATCGTATGTCTATTCCGATTCCCTATAAAAAATACCACTAGATCTAATCATTGAAACTAAAGTGCATATTTTTCACTGACATTATTGGATTAGGGCGGGTTTATAATTCTGCTAAAAATCAATTCAAATGGAAAAATTGAATTAAATTGATAAAATAAATCAAAATTATTTAGATTTGATTTGATTTTAGATTTTTAAAGATTATTAGTATTTTATTTGGTTATAATTTTATTCGAAAAAATCAAAAAAACAATCAAATCGGATCGATAAATTATATACATATATTTTTATTAATATACATGCTTAATATATTGTTTTTATAAATAATTGTAAAGATCTTATATATATATATTTATTAAAATTTCTTTACAATTGACTTGTTGAAAGCAAAGATGTCTAACATTTATCTTATTGATTTCATTTATATGAATGTTTATGACAATTCTTTATAGAGCTGAAAATATTATTGTTTCTTCCTTATAGGCCAAAATAGTGAATTTTAAAGCTTTATTCATGTAAATTCAGTGATTGAAAATTCAATAATGTCAGTTATTTTAAATATTTATTTTTGTTTTGAATGAATTATTGTCTCTTTTTTCACATTTTGAATGAATTATTTCTTATTATTTTTGTGTATGGTTAATAACCGACTCAAACCAAATTGAAATAAAAAAATATACATTAATTAATTTGATTTTTAATTTTAATAATTTTAAAATCGATTAAATCGATTTAGTTTTGAATTTACCCAATACTGATCTAACCAACATGTGAACACCCAACTAAATTTAATATATAGAAGATTCTCATTGATTGAATTAGCTGGCTGACCAAACATGATTAATCTTTGCCTAATATGAGATTTTAAGTTTAAACACATGTTGGCATTAGTTTTAGTTTATGTTTTGCCTAATCTAATTCTTGAGTCTTCTTATATATATGCGCTTCATCCTTTAATTTGTACCTAGCCAGGATGTTCAAGATAATTTTTTTTTAAAAAAAACTATTTTTTTATTCTTTTTCTTTTTTGGCTTAATTTGATCTAGGATCCTTGTGACTCTATTTCTTGAAGCTTTTTTTTTTCAAAAGAAGAAAAATCTAATGCTTTAGCCATGAATTTATGAAGTAAAAAAAAGGAAAAATGTAAGTAAAATCGATATTATTTTTAAATTTAGCTTCTGAAATAGATAAATTCTTCGATTATAACCTCAAAACTTTCAAAGTTTCAATTTATTTGAAAATTTTTCTGTATGATTTAAGTTAATTTGATGATATGACCTACTTATATGATTTAAAATTTTTGATATTGTTTTGTAAAATTTTTGGCAAAATATTTTATATATATATATATACACACTTCATCCTTTAATTTGTTACCTACCCAGGATGTTCAAGATAATTCTTTTTTAAAAAAAACTAATTTTTTATTCTTTTTCATTTTTTGCTTAATTTGATCTAGGATCCTTGTGACTATTTGTTGAAGCTTTTTTTTTCCCAATAGAAGAAAAATTAAATGCTTTAGCCATGAATTATGAAGTAAAAAGAGGAGAAATGCTTTTCTGTGATACAAATAAAATCTATATTATTTTTAAATCTAGCTTCTGAAATAGATTAATTCTTCGATTATAAATTTCAATTTATTTGAAAATTTTTCTATATTAATTTGATGATATGACCTACTTATATGATTTTGAAAAGTTTGATATTGTTTTGTAAAATATTTGTATGGATACGAATCGCCTAATAATTGGAAAAATCAGAAGCAAGGCAATAAAATTATTTGATAATGTCAACTTCAACACTGAAATCAAAGGAAATAACAGCGAAACTAAAATGATTGAATTACACTAAGATCAGGCATGTGAATTGGCAATATGCAAAAGAGTGGTAAAAAGTTGTTGAGGCTTAGACATCATGACCATGTGATCAGAGCCTGAAATCTCTTCCACATCATCGGGGGGATTATTTTCAATCATCCAATATTGAAATTCTTTGTTCAAAGCTTTACTTTCAGCAGCAATAATGAAGACTCGCTTAACTGATCCGTACCTTTTCGTTGAAAGAACTATCTCCTCGTAAATTTCTTCCACAGGATATAAATATATGGGTCTTACTAATTCAGTAGCCAGCTTCAAATCCTAACACCAACCAACACGGAAAAAAAAACTTAATTTATATCAATTCCAAGTTAATATTACATTTAAGTACTTGGTCAATAAATTTGTAATTTTAATTTGCTTACCGTAATTGGGCTCAGCTGGTAAAGATTAGTTTCCATGAACTTGGGACCTAGAATGAGGCTTGTTGGAGGATTCGCAGGTCCATTGTCGTATATAACACGATTATCAAGTTCAGGTATTACTACATCACATGTCTATTACCAAAAAAAATAAATTAGTTTCAGGCCAAAAATTAGGAATACAATAAATTGTTGGTGGTTTTTCATTCTGTAGTTTTGATTAAGCTTAGATCGCGCATTGAGGGGCTCATTCTGTAGTTTTGATTAAGCTTAGATCGCGCATTAAGGGTGAAACACTCTCACCAGTATACCACAACAGTTGTTGATAATATAATAAAGACATAATACATAAATATGACCCTAAACTTGGCGTGAGCTGACAAGTATGACCTTTAACTTTGGGTGTGCACAAGTAGACAATTAAACTGATATAAAATTGAGCAAATAGATTCGTTTGTTCTACATGGCACCATACATGATAAATTTATGTCCCATGTGACGCTCTACGTGTATTATGTCATGTAGGACATGTGAGTCTACTTGTTCAATTTTATATAAATTTAAGTGTCCACTTGTGTGCGATCAAAGTTGAAAGCATAGTTATCCTATGAAGCCAAGTTAAGCGTCATATTTATATATATAGCCTATAATAAATTGTTACTACACTAACATAGTGAATTTATCATTTTAACTTATTAATCGATAAAATTTGACCACCAATTTATTCATTTAATACCTTTTACCGGAACATGAATTTTCTAAATAAATTGAGAATATAATTAATAAAAAGAATTGTTTTTTTTTGATTTATTGAAAATGATAAGTAAAAAGTCAAAATTGAAAAATCAAAAAAGAAAAGAGAGAGTACTACCTTAGTGTAGACGGCAGTTGCACTGAAAGATGGACCAGGCATCAAAGCAGCGATAAAAACAGCAACTGAAATCTTTTCTGGAAAATTTTCCATGGCTTTAGAGATGCCGAGTCCAGCAAAGCTATGACCAACAAGAACTATTTTTTCATCAGCAGGAAGTGAAGCCATGAACTTCATTAGCGGACTTAAATAATCAGAAAAACTTGTGATTTCAATGGCCTGTTTCTCGTTGGATCCTGAGCCACCCAAGTCAAGAGCTGTAACATTATGCCCCGAAGATTTCATCAATTCTACTATTTTATACCAACACCAAGATCCATGACATCCAGTATGAAGTAGCACAAAGTGCTTCTTATCTTTGGGTTGTAACAATCTTTTTTCACCTTTGGCTTGTGATGGGGTTTTCAATGAGCACATAGTGGTGATCAGGCTTAATGATGCAACATGGTTATTTGTCTTTTGAACTCCAAATAAGTTCAATCCATTAAAGTTGTTTATCACTTTGCTTCTTTGGTAGAAACACTCTCTTCCTGTGCCTAAAATGGCTGATGGACTTAATATTGTTGCTGAAAATATTGTCATTGTTGCTTCACCACCAACCTGTACAACAAAATAAGTAGAAGTTACAAGTTTATAATACAAAATTTTGGAAATGAAAGAAGAGTTTACTCTATTGTGATGGCTTGTAGAGTGCTCTAATCTTGAATAATATAATGAGGCATTTTTATCATAGCTCATCAAGTTGCAAAAGCTAGTTTGAGTTTTCTAACTTTTAAAAAATAAGAAAAGACCTACTTTTCATTTTAAACAGTTTTTCAAGTTATTCTATATTTATTTTAAATCGTATCAAATATTTTTAATAAATAAATAAATAGATGTAACTAATTTTTATACCATCCAAATGAATCTAAAACAGGTCATTGCCTTTAGACAAATTTAGATAAAGAATTATATAGTTTGTCCTTTCGTTTACTTAATATATAATAAAAAGAATTTTGTAATAAGTCATCCACGTGAACAGCTCCATTACCCTTACCATCTGACTCACTGCTGCGCTTCAAAGATGTGATCAAACACTTTTGGTCTTTCGAATTGATATTAAAAAAATATTTTTATCTTAAAAAAAAAGAATTGATTGGGGGAGGGGGGGTTTAGGGATCTACATATTAAAATATTTTTTTAAAATAATTTTTAATTTTTAATGGGGTGGCCTGGGTGAGGT